CTGTGCTTGCTGCTTGAAGTATTACATCTCGAACTCCTTGCATATAATTCCATCAGTGTGTGTGTTTGACAGGTGGTCAATAATTTTCTCTCCTCTATCATGCAAGATCCCATATGGGAAACATCAACAAATATGATATTAAATATAGGCATTTTTTCAGTCATTGCAACAGGTTGGAGTGAGTGTTTATGTATGTATATTTGGAAAGAATATGGTCTGCTGCTGATATTAATAGACAATAAACAGATTTGAGTCAATGTAAACTGTTTATATGACTCACGTGATTGAAAGATAATATGTAATATAATTGCTCCAGCCACTGGGATTTAAATAATGTTGGCGAGGAGAGTTTAAAAGGACTTGTTAATAGTTCCAACATAAATTATACTTTTTAGTCACAGTAATTGCTTCTCAGCTTAAGATAACCGCTGTGTCAATTAGTGCTGGAAAAATTAGATTCCAATTGTGTTGAAATCATCAGTTATTGTGCTCAGTGTGCATACATGACATCCTTAAAACATCTTAACTACTCAAACACAACTGCCATGGCTGTTTCATTTCGCCCTGCAGCAGAGGTTAATTGTAGTGCCCACTAAGGTCACAGTGTCACTTTGTAATGGTATTTTGGATAATGGCATTCTGCTGAAATGAGACAGACTGCAGTTCAAACAAGGCGTTTATCGCTTAACTTTGTTTGAATGGTTTTATTTTCTCTTTTTTTTCATTAAGTCTAGACGCAGTCTTTATCAGCTTTTTGCAGCAGCTGCTGTGCTGTAAATGACTCCGGAGGATTTTTTTAAGATGGAGTAAAAGAGTTTGAATTACCTCTGTGCGAACATATAAGCAACTCAAATAGTGTCATTTGACATGACTGGGGGCTCCATTTGTCAGGTCATGAGTTGAGTGGAGAAATAAGGGGAAGCACTTGCCTGCAGGGATCAGCTACTCTTTCACACCTCATCAGCTGAGGCCACAAACTTAACACTTAGGTGTCTGTGTCCCGCTGACTTGCCGTAGGAGTGTCATGTTGGAACCCCTTGTCGCTTCTCTTTCATAACCAAAAAGGGAACTTCCATGCCATTTTGCTTGGTCATCCGAGACAAAATTTATTGTGTATCTTATGGGATGGAATTTGTATGCCATCTTTTGATGATTGTGAGTGTTTTACATCATTTTATGAAGTGAATTCCCAGAAAAAAACCACGGGTACCACCATGTACTCAACCTAATCCAGTGTATCAAGATGACTGATTTGTATCTTTTGTAAGCATGAAATGATTGTAAATCAACTTCAAAAGCAGCACATTATGTAACACAAGACCTAAGGAACAGACAAGAAGTAAGGAACAAACTAAAACTGTATACTATCAGTATACACAGCATAATGACAGCAATAATTATCAGTCTTCAGTGGGCAGAGGCGGTCAAGCCAGTGTCAGTGTCATAATATGTTCAGATTTAGCAGCCGCAATACAAAGAATTCAGTCAGTATATATGTATGTATGATCTTATTTAACCTACAGCAGCCTACAGTCATTGTGTACATGTAGGAATAGAGGGAAACAGGGCTTATTTCGACTTTTTGATCACCCTTCCTCCACTGAGAGAGTAATGGAATGTCACAGTGTGCACAAGCACACACCACGTACAGGACAATACAGCTCTTGGACTGATTGATGAACTAATGCAGGTGCGTCAAACCAGTCAGAGGGGAGGGCGCTACCTGGAACAGGGCACACAGAATAGGGCAGAGGCAAAACAAAACACCACACTATGCTCATAACATACTGGCTTCCATACTTAAAGGAAGCTCCATATAGAAAGGAAAACAATACAGGACAGGGTGGTGGATGTGGGTCTGATGGAGATAGACATGGGTACAGATGTTACATTTTGTTGGGTACCTGCACATTACGGTACCGCGGGATTAAAGCATAATGAATTTGCAGACAGGGTGGCTAAAAGAGCACAAAATATGGGGCATATAATGGAAATTTAATTTGGGAAAGGAAAAGTAAAGCACTGATCAAAAAGAAAATTTGTCAATAAAGATGGGATAGAGACAGTCAGGGTAAAGCAGACGGTGGCCGTATGCACATTAAAAGTTGAGATAGCAATTCGCCAGAAAATGTAAAGAAGAAGAAGGAGCTGTGATGTTGTTGTTGTTTGGAAGATAAAGTAGACTCCTGCAAGCACACAGTTCCTAACCAAAAATTTAATTACTTGAAACTTTAAGTACTTTAAACATGTCTGGCCCAAAGAGACGTCGCAGTTAGGCACAAATAGGCCGCAGACTAACCGCAGTAGAACAAGAAGAGGAAGAAAACCCAATAAGTGACAGTAGTGCACCAACAGCAAGGAAAGTAAAACAAGAAGAAGACTGAAAAAGTGACATTAATGAACCTGTGAGCATAGGAACCGTCTTAAAACAAGAAGAGGAAGACCAAACAAGTGGCAGTGATATGCCAACTGGCGTAGGCGGTAATGACCCAGAGTATGACATCAAGGTGTTCAACACCAAGGATGCAACCTCGAAGAAAAAATTAAACAAGAAGACAACGAAGACCTGATCCAAGCGGGGATTGTATGTAAATATTCTTATTGTTATTGATTATATATTTGGTGGAAAAGTGGACATTTACCAACTTACACTGTGTGTGTGTAATTTCCCTAAAAGACCTGCTTGTCTTACCTACCCAAGGCATGAACAATGGCACCTGAAGTCACACACACTCTGTGGGCTTTAATTAGAATTTACTTTGATGTATTCCTGCTCTGAAAAGAAGTTTATAGGCTATATTGGCCATTTACAAGGCAAAATGCTATAATGTCTCACAATATTTACCCCTTAAATTCTTACTTTTCGTATGGTTTCGAGTCAGAAATCCAAAACTATAGGCCAGTGAATTAATCCTCTTTCTTGTTTCGAGAGTGAAGATGCGGATGCTGATGGAGAAAGGGATGGCCATAGAGCTTCAAATTCCCTGGGGATCCGATGACACAGGATCACTTTGAAGCCATCTTATGGTCCCTGCACTTGCAGCAACCGAGACGCAGACAAAGCAAACCATCACAAGAGGAACACTGCAGAGTGTGACAGACTGTTCTAGATCAAGCCCTTGTACACTGCGATAGTGAAAGCCTGCAAAGGAAACTTCCAGCCTGATCAGAACATTTCCATAGGTGAAAGGATGGTGGCGTCTACAGCTCACGTAAGTGGGGCTACACACTATTTGTGCTTGCGGACTGCAACATTGGCGGTGTGGGGACGTCTGAGGCTTTGATTAGCTATTATAGCGACCACCAAAAAGCTATGAAATGGTACAAGGCCTTCTTTTACCATTTTGTAGATGCTACAGTCAACAGCTTCCTCCTCCACAATGAGAAGGAAAAACAATCCCACCATGAAAAAGCCATTCACTCAAAGGCGCTTCAGGGAGAAGCTAACTGCAGAAATGCTGGAGTTTGCCAAAGCATCAGCAGTACCTCACCCTCAACCACCGAGACAAACCTCCTGCATGCCTGCTACTATGGAGACGATAGCACCCAAGGGAAGAGGTACTGCAAGAGGTGCCTGGATGCCGGCCTCAAAAGGATGAAGACACCTGTGTGCTGCATTAAGTGCAATGTCTCTCTATGCTTAACTTCTTAAAGGAACTGCTTCAGAGACTGCCACAACAAAAACGTCTAAATGGCCACACTTTTCTTCTGTTGTTGCTCATGGGCACTGGGCTCTGTATATGTTGACTTGTCAGAATGTGTCATCTTTTCAAACGTGTGCTCCAGAATGTAATATAAATCTCTATTTTGAGTCAAACTTCAATGTCTTTGTCTGTTTTTTATTTAATGCGTATATACATAGAGGTCTGGTTGATCTTCAAAACAAAGCCAAAAACAGTATTTAAAATAGAATGAATACCTATAGCAAGTGAAATTAAATGAGTTTTACACTTTGGTACATGAGAAATTTCTGTGGCCAATTTGGAGATTCACAAGCCTCTACTAAAAACCTTTTGCTCTGCTTTATGTGATTAGCGGCTGTCTTGGCACAGGTAATGTTCAAATGTTGTGCTAGAGGTTTTGGGCGGCAACTGTAAAATACCAAAGAGGATATTCACACCATACTGATGGTTAAATCAATGCAGAAATCTCACAAGCGTTAGCTTTATTATGAAAATTAAATACCACTGGTTCTCAAACTATGGTATGTGTACCATTGGTGGTACGCAAGCCGCCTGTAGTTGTACGCCGATGAATCTAAAATGTTTTTATAAAATGAAAAGATACCATGGGATTGCTAAAATGTAATTTAAAATAAGTTTAGTATTTTCTGTAATATTTTGTTTCAATTTCAACCTACTGTGTAGTCATTGTCATATATTTGCGCTTGCATACGTCCATGATTAGTCACCAGTTAAAATGTGATGGCAAGACTAAGCGGAGGTAAAATGAATGGTTCAAAAACACTGCAATCTTGGCTCCATTGGGAAGAGAAGTGTGGACCAGGAGTATCGCTTTTCCACCAAGCTAGCTCTGGACCCATTCAGGATTTAACGATAAACAATCTTATTGGTAATAAACCTGCCTCCTGTGTGAACTATCTGCTGATGGTGGCTAATGGAGAGCCTAAAATTTCTAAGGTGGTGTAAAAACTTTGAGAAGCACTAATATAGACTTTGTAGTAGCAGATATACTGTATATTCATTTTGATGATGTCATTTTTGAGCAGGAGCCAGAGGCAAACTTTTCAAATAATAATTTCATTAAAAAAATGTGACCTGCAATTTGCTCTTTATTGCGTAATTCATCAGGTTCTTGACGAGAATTTTTTTTTTTTACGTGTTTATTGTTAATTAAATAAATTTAAGCTGGTGAGTGAAAACTAATGACATCAGCTTTTATTTATTTTTTTAAAGGAAGAAAAAACTCATATCTGAGCGGCAGTGTGTATTTCACACAATAACCGTAATGTCTTACTTTGGCATCTGTTTTCCAGCCTGCTTGAAGAAATGGCATCCGCATTAGAGCAGCAGTGATCTGGACCAGAGCCGCAGCAGGGATGAATGCATCAGATCAGTCCTCCTACCAAGAGGAGGTGATGCTGGGTAACTCCACCTGGGCTTATTACTACTATCACCAAAACTACACCCTGTCCCCTCCACTGCTACCAGACAAGACCAGCACTTCCAAACCTGCAGCATGTGAGCAGGTTCACATCGCTATAGAGGTATGAACAGCTAGTGTGGTGTGATACCTTTTTTTATTCTGCTGTAACACCTTTTTTTATTCTGCTGTAACTGTTAGCGTATTACTTTACTCCACTGGTCCCCAACCTACTCCTATTTGATGTTTGTTGCAGTAAAGTTCAGACTATTACTTTACTCTGTAGGCCATAGTTAACTAAAACTTAATTAGTGATGAAGATGCCAGTGCCATCATCACCTGTGCGTCAGGACAACACTGACCATTGACCTATTTGGGTGGAGAAAAAGGGCAGGTGCAAATACTGGATGTAAGGGTATAGTGGAAGTGCAGTGCACAAAATGTGTCACCTAGCTGTGCTTCACTCCTGAAAAAAACTGCTTCATGGAGTTCCATAAGCATTGAGCAGCAACACCACAAATGATGGCAACGCATGTCAGGAAACAGGGACTGGATAGAAACATGCTTGAAATGGAAGATGCATGATCGAAACACTGAATCTGACACCAGTTTGTTTCTTGTTTTGCAAATGGTCATTATCTTTGTTTTGATAATTAGTTCATTTATAGTTTGAAGAATTACGCTTACGCTTAGAATTACAACTCTTCGAAACATTCATTTCAGTGGGTTGTTCCACAATGGTACAATGTTGCCTACAGGCAACGTTCAGACAAGAAACCCTTTAAAATAGTTCCTTTTATAATATTTTTCAATTTAAAATGGCATGTATTGTAACCTGTTGAAGTTATTGAATCTTTTACACATGTTCAAATTGAAAAAAAAAACTCTTTTTCACTTTAGCACCATTATGGTACAATGTTGCCTACAGGCAACAAAACCCCCAAAAACGTCTTTAGATTATGTTTATTTAATCTATTTTAAGACATAAAAACACTCCAAACATTTTTTTTCCTAACTGGCATCATAATGCGTACCATAGAGGGTTCAGTAAGAGTTGGACTACAATATATGATTTATTGATCGGTAGTACTTTGCCTATGGTAGATACTTGGAATCACCTGCCAAGTATAGTATAAGTATAATACAATATATAAAAATATAGTATAAGTAAGTGCCTGCCCTTTAACAAACAGTTTCCAAGAACGATGCACCAGGTTATCTAGGGCCGTCATCAGGGTCAAAATGTTTAACAACAATTCTGGGAAATTAGACAACATATTTATGTAGAAGATGACTTATGTTAGGACATTTTGTTAGGGAATTTGCTAAAATTAAAAACACTGTCTCTTTGTATTGTTATTATAACCCACTGTTACCTAACTAATGACCTTGTGCTGAGCATCTATTGAAAAGCATTCACAGTCAGCAATGACCCATACACATGTGTGTGCATGTGCTGCACGCATGCCAGCAGTAGGATTGATCAGTGTGAATTGTCCTATTCAGGAAAATTGAACAAGATGGATGTGTTTAAGGCTAGTGTTCACACACTGCTTCTAATTGTGGCCAATGTTATAGATGTAGCTAATTGGGAAGAATGGTTGTCTCTGGGGTCCACACAGACAGAGGACCTGCTTAGAGACACCTGATTACACTAGTGTGTATGTTCCTGGCGGGGTCAGAGGTTAAGATAAGGTCAGGATCTTTAATGAAGCTCACAGGTCCCCTGTAGGCAGCCGTAGGTGGCATTTTCTTAATGGCTGATAAGGTTGTTAGCAGTGTACTTTGCACTGAAGAACCGGCAAATTCCAAAAGAACCGCAAGAGTTAATTTGCACCTTTTCCCATAAATTTAAACTAAAGATCGTTCTTTTATGTTTGTACTTTCCCTTCTGCTTTGGAGCAAAAGGCTTGCAAAAGTGTCAAATAATCCAGAACCTAGATTCTGTGATAGTTGGGATTTGGTGTTTCTTGCCCGCATTCATTCCAGTTAGGTGAAATGAAAGCTGGGCCTGTAGGTGTAGCATGTGTTGTCCCAATATGTGTGTATGCTTGTGATGGCAATGTGTGCCAGGACAACGCCAACCTTTCCCAAGCTCAATGCTGGGATACGGCTCCAACTCCTTGTGCCCCTAGGACAGCGATACTGGTAATAAGTGACTATATACTGTACTCGTATATAACTGTAGTGGGCGCGTATAGATACCATTGAAAGCATGTGTCCTCCAATTGTTGATTGTTGGATAGCAGACTCTTTGCCCCGATCACGCATCACATCTAACAATCAAAAGTAAATCCCAAAGTGACAGGACTCAAAATGCCGCAACCAACGTATTTAAACAGGTGCTTTAGGTATATGATTCAATTTTGGTTTATTTGACTTTTGTTTGTTTTTGTGATTTTTGGTCCTCCCCCATCCCCGGCCCGTACGAATGGGAAAGTGAACACAATTTAGTTGTTGGTGTTTCCATTGGTGTGCTTCAGCAGTTACATTTAGAAGAGAAATTGCCTAGTAAAATATCTTCACGCAAAGTATAAGGGACTTTTCAGTGATGGTTTTTCAAAAGTCTGAAAACTGTATTTTACAAAGCTTTATAGTTTAATAAACCTGCTGTTATTAATTCAATTGTATTAGCTTGGCTGAATAGTAACTATTATCGATTGTATTTATGTATCCAAGTAGCCCTGGATGTACAGAGCAACAAATTTAGCTTTTATACGAATGAAGACTTAAAAATTCTGATGTTGTCCAGGGCAAAGTTCTGGAGTTGGTGAGGAGTGTCCACTAAGGACCACCGGAAACATTTGGCACCCCTACAGACCCCGCGCCAACAGATTGTCATATGTCATGTGGTTCATTTTACAAGGCCCAGTGCTTGAAATTGTTTCCTTACCTGCACCTGCCTGTCCCGCCCATCCTTTGTAGGTGATGCCCTTTAACAGGGTAAAGTCAGTAGTGGCTTTTCACAAATACAAAAATTTGAACAAAAACTGGTTCCCATAAATTTCAGTAAACTCGCAAACAATATAAGAAACAACAAAAAAGCTGCAGGGACAAAGCAAAGAGCAGGTGGTTGAAATTAGTTGGAGCGCAAGCTGCCCTTCACCGTAACGCATCACTAAAAACAGCACATCCTGCCGTGGTTGGGCCCAATACAGGTTGTCATTCAGTGAGCTGACTAAGACCACAAAGCCTTGCAATTTTTAGAATAATTAATAACTATGTTTAATAGCAGGCAACATACAGTTCTTGACATACAGTAAAATATATCATAAAGCTGCTTACAGTTGCACTCTGTGTGTGGTTAATGATGTAAATATGCAACCCGGGCCAAGTCCT